GGGTTTGGGGGGGTCTCTGCCCTATAGATTATGGGGGGTTCCCTATTTGGGGGTCCCTGCCCCACAGATTGAGGTCCCCGTGGGGGGGGTTTCAGGGCTCCCTCCACCCTCTTCCTCCCCCCAGGGGCCACCATCATCATCCTCACCGTGGCCAAGGGGTCTCTGGGCCACCATCCCCCTCCTGGTGGCCACCATCGTCCTCACCTGGGGCCTCCATCGCTGCCCCCGTGGCCGGGGGCCTCTTCTCCTCCGTGGTGGCCACCATGGCCCTCCCCAGGGCTCTCTGGGCCTCCATCGCTGCCGCCCTGGCCAGTGGCCTCCTCTCCTCCGTGGTGGCCACCACCATCACCACCGTGACCAGTGGCTTCTTCTCCTCCATCGTGGCCACCACCACCACCACCAAGACCAGTGGCTTCCTCTCCTCCATTGCCACCATGACCAAGGCTCTTCTCTCCTCCATGGTGGCCACCACCACCACCAAGACCGGTAGCCTCCTCTCCTCCATCATGGCCATGACCAGGGGCCTCCTCTCCTCCATCATGGCCATGACCAGGGGCCTCCTCTCCTCCACCACCACGTCAACCAAGGCTCTTCTCTCCTCCATCGCGGCCACAACCGCCATGACAAGTGGCCTCTTCTCTTCCATGGTGGCCACCATGGCCATGACCAAGGCTCTCCTCTCTTCCGTGATGTCCACCATTGCCATGACCAATGCTCTTCTCTCCTCCATGGTGTCCACCACCACCGTTACTAACACTCTCCTCTCCTCCATGGTGGCCACCAAGGTGACCAAGGCTCTTCTTTCCTCCATGGTGGCCACCACCACCACGACCAAGTCTCTCCTCTCCTCCACGACGACCACCACCCCCCATCACCTCGCGTTGGCCACCACCTTCTTCTTCCTCCTCCTCCCGTTGGCCTCCCCTTGCCCCTCCGTCTGCCGCTGCTCGGGCGGCCGCGTCTACTGCAACGACCGGGGGCTGACGGCCGTCCCCGAGGGGTTGCCCCCGGGGGCCACCACCCTCTTCCTCCAGAACAACCGCATCGGGGACGCGGGGATCCCGGCGGGCTTGGGCCGCCTCAACGCCCTCCGCGTCCTCTACCTCTACGCCAACTCCTTGGAGGAGCTCCCGGCCTTCCTCCCCCCTGCTCTCCGCGAGCTTCATCTCCAGGACAACAACCTCCGGGGGCTTCGCCGGGGGGCTCTCGCCCGCGCCCCGCTTTTGGAACGGCTCCATCTCGACGATAACTCCGTTTCGGCCGCCGGCATCGAAGAAGACGCCTTCGCCGACAGCGGCCGCCTTCGCCTCCTCTTCCTCTCCAGGAACCACCTCAGCAGCGTCCCCCCGGGGCTGCCCCCGGGGTTGGAAGAGCTTCGTTTGGACGACAACCGGATCCACACCATCCCCTTCCGCGCTTTCCAAGGGTTACCGGCCCTTCGGCGCCTGGTGTTGGACGGCAACCTCTTGGCCAACCAGCGCATGGCCGACGACACCTTCAGCCCCTTGGGCAACCTCAGCGAGTTGTCGTTGGGTCGCAACGCGCTGGCGGCTCCTCCGGCCAATTTACCCCGCGCTCGTTTGCGCCGTCTCTCCTTGGCGGCCAACGCCATCAGCCACGTCCCCGCCGGGTCGTTAGCGCGGCTCCAAGCCCTGGAGAGGTTGGATCTGTCGGACAACAACCTCACCTCCCTGCCCAGGGGGTTGTTCGATGGTTTGGGGAAGTTGAGCCATTTGGGGTTGAGGAACAACCCGTGGTTCTGCGGCTGTAACATGGCCTGGCTGAGGGATTGGCTCCAGCGAGGGGCTCCCCCGGGGCTGGAGGTGAGGGGGCTGCTTTGCCAGGCCCCCGCCCGCCTGCGGGGGCTGCCCGTGGGGGAGCTGAGGGGGGAAATGGACGCCTGCGACGCCGGGGCCTCCTCATCTTCATCATCTTCTTCCTCCTCCTCAGGCCTCGGGCCTAGTGTCATGGCGGCCGGGCCCTCAGGCGGCGTCTCCATGGCAACGGGAGCGGGAGGAGGGGGCGCGGCCGTCTCGAAGGGCTCAGGACCAATGGGAGCGCGAGGCGGCGGAGGGGGCGTGTCCGTAGCGCCGGGTTCCGGACCAATAGGAAGCGGCGCCTCCTCGCCGGGAGGGAGGGGCGTCTCCCTAGCGACGGGAGGTGTCATGGCGGCACCCGGAAGCGGCGGCGTTGCCATGGCAACGGGGCCGGGCCTAGCTCAGGCCTCCGAAGCCTCCCCGGGAGTAGAACAGGCCGCGGCGGGAAAAGGGGGGGGTTTGAGGCTTCAAGCGGGGCCGGGGGGGTCCCTGAGGGTCCGGTGGCCCCCGGCCCCCCCCGGGGCTTCCCTCCGGTTGAGCTGGTGGCGCCCCGGGGGGGGGGTGACGGAGACTTTGGTGGCGGGAGAGCGGGGGGAGTACGTGGTGGGGGCCCTGAGGCCCATGGCGGCCTATCGGGTCTGCCTCTCCCCCCTCG